AGCCAAAGATGTTAGAATTGTGTCGATGTCCCAATATTTCTGGACCTGACTGTACTTCTCAGAGGTTATTTTGCGTTTGAGTATATGAAAACAAAGTCCAGTGTGTTTTGGAGGTTTTGACCCCTCTTCAAAAAAAGGTGACCATTTCATGCAATGTGGTTTTGAGTGTTCCAGCAAGTCCAAATGCTGCAAGTAGCTCATGATTTTAAAACGTTTCCAGCCTAATCAGTGCAGCAGCAGTGACCATTTAACCTGTGACTGACTTAGAGTGGGGGGATTGTGGAAAAAGCAGGGCTTGAAGCATCATCTTTGGACCAGGATTGCAATGACTATGAGTGGAACCTCACTGGTAAGCATCTGGCTACTGGTCTCTGTTAGTTCCATTCAAGTCCGCTTTTAGTTTTGAAGCAGTATAGGGGCTGGTGCAAGCTTGGAAGGGAAGGAGAACAAACAATGATGCATTAACAAGAGGAAGAGTAATATTCTGCAAAATGCTTCCCAGTGAACAGGCTTCCTTTCTCTACCTGTACATGTAGGAATTTACTTCTCTGTGTGTTTAAAGACATTGATGGTTGTTATTTACTTAACTTTGATTGCCCTTTCCAGCAACAGCTGTTTACTTATAATAATAAAAAATAATAAAAATAATAATAAAAATATATCAGCCCCAAAGCCTTGCAATTGTTTATACTGAATGTCTGTTGTGGCTATGGGGAAAATGTATGGAGGATTATTTTTAAAAAAGGACTATGCTGAACTTAGTAAATAAGTTTGAAATGACCACAGTGAGCAACCAGGTTAGGGTTCTGTTTGCAGAAGCCGTCTGCAAAGAATTAAGATTGCAAGCAGGTGACTTATACTTGTACAAAGGTAGAAAGGAGTGTCGCCACCCTAATATGCTTTCTTGGCAATCAATTACCTATCTCATCAAGGCAATGGTCCTAAAGTATAACTGAAATGTTCAATTTGTATTAAAAAAAAGACTGTAACCTCATAACTATGGTTCAGTATTTGTTTTCTTAAAAAGTTGCTTGGATCCTCTGGTCTATGGAATGCATATGAAGCTCAATGTTTTTTATCACACCCCTATCTTGTATATGGAGATATCTCACAGTTTTAGTTTTACCTGCCCCAGGATGCTATAATTTGTGCTATTGTAATGGCTTCAACTTTATCTAGAGTAACTCAGATATTTTAAAAGGCCATTTCCAAAGTTGGACATACAGACCAGAACTGATGTGAAATTAGTTTATTGGCACACAATAAAGTTGGGTTGTATATGGACAATCAAATGATAGACATCTGGGGCAAAAAAAAATTAAATTAACATTAATAACATATCTGCTTAGGTTTATCCTAAGAATTAGTAACCAGAAGTACACAAGTTTTAATATCACAAGTATTGAACATATCTGTGGCTTAAGGCACAGGAATTCAACAAGAAATACAGCTACTAATTTTTCCTCCTTCAGTACAGATAATTCTATTTCTCGCAGTGTTTTTCTAAAAATTTATTTTAAAAGTTCGTATCATCTCAAATTGTTTCAAGTGCTCAAATTAAAGTTATAAAAGCAGCTACCTCTATAAACTGTCTCTATGTGTGCTCTTGGCTGATTCTGACTACCTGGAATTTCATACATCAGTGTCATCTCACTTCTGACATTAGGTAGTAGGGCTGGGATTTAAATAAAATGGAGAAATTACCAGATCAATTGTTTTCAAAATGTGTGCAATTTTTAGAGTTCAGGATCAAATCATAAAGGGGTCTCTGTTAGTTCCATTTTTAGAAGGGAAACTGCACTAAAAGGGTAACTTTTTGTGACTAAGCTCACTAAGAGAACACACTGAAAATACATTCCAAAGATTTCCAGAGCTCAAAACTGAAGAGCTAGTCACCAACTGGACCAGCTGATGAAATGTATATTGTATTTCCACAAATGACATGTGGAAACTATAAAAAGATTACTGACATACATACAGATCTGAAGGTCTACAAATTGGAAAGCAGTGTGTCATGATTTGCTTCTTATAAGTTCTTCTCAAATGATCCAAAAGAAATCATTCCTTCCCCATTTTTCAGCCTAAGGACACAGAAACTACAAATTATTCTGGATAATACTATATGTATTTTGTCAGTCTCCTATGTGCATAAAAGATCTTCATCCCATATTGTCAGCTGAGGGAAATGACTGCTCCCCAGAAATTACTGAGTTCCTTTAACAGGCTTCTGGGAACTTTAGCAGTACTAATAGTGATGCCAATAGGAAGCTACAGGACTGGTGCCTTTCTCTATATGCTTAAGATGGCAAGAATGGCAAAGCAAATGTTCATCTAGTGGGTAGCAACGATGACCATCTTCATCATTGAGTTCCATTCCACAGTCCTATATAAAAGAGATGGAAACAGAATAGCGATAAAGACACAGCTCGATTACTGTATATGTAAGTAACAATCAACCCATTCATATTAAAAGCAAGTCAATTATTAAAATATGCTACTGCCCTAAAAGTATTTGCCAGCAGTAGAACAATTATGTGATACTTAACTAAGGTCCTTTCCAGATAATATGGAGTATGGAGTCCTTTTTCAAGTGGAACACTTCTTATCAAGCTACCGTATTTTTCCGACTATAAGACGATACTTTTTTCTAAAATCCTTACCCTAAAA